AGAGTAAGCCATCTCTTGAAGTGAGAAAACACAGTATACAATGATCGTAGACATTAGTGGCCAATTTTTTAAGAGATTTAGCTTATGAGTCTGTCTCTCTTCAAGTTCTACGATGTTGTTCTTCCGACCAGATTCATTTAAACAAGGCTCTGACATATCATATGGATCATTTTTTTGATTTCCCTTTCCACCATGCCTGTGTAACGTCTCCTGCATAAGTATTTGTGTCACCACAAAAGAGAGGGAAATAACCAATAGAAATGCTGGTAGCAGTAATCTAAAAACAATCCTTTTGCGATAAAACACCCAGTCACCTAGATAGAAAGCACATGCCACAAACAGACTAAAATTGTCTAGATGCAAAATGCAATAAATAAATTTGAAAGAATCAATCATTATACATAAATTGGACAAATGCATATGATTTGAGGTAGTAAAGAACCATTCAATGACAAATCAATTGCAGACTGAAAGATAGAAAACCAACTTAATCTTATTGCCAAGGAAAGGAAGCAAGAGGATTTTTCTTTTCCTTTATTTTATAACAAAATTCAAAGTATCTTTGGTATGCCATGATGTGGAGAAGTTTGAGCAGAAGCTCCTTGATTCAACTGCATAAACCTCATATTATGAATTTCCAGTATAATATTGTGGCACAGTTTTAAATTATCTCTATCAAGTCTCATTTTTACAAGTTCAATCAATATGTGGATGTAACCTTGCTGAACCTGTTTCTGTGATATCCAGATATCCACAGTTCAAAACTATAGAACAATGTATTAATTGATTAAGTAATGATGAATTTTTATTGCAATTACCATATCCAAATCCACAGTAGATAAACAGTGGCTGATACCATTTCTAGGGGATTACTAGAAAAAGAAAAAGATGATTAAATAAGTTTGACACTTACAGGAAGCCATCTACAAGCAATAACAACTCCAACAGAATAAACTGATATTATCAGGCATGGTAAGAAGTAGGGAAATCTGCAATCAAATACATGTAAAAACATCACCACAAGAAAGATAAAGGGAAAATATAACATATTGATACTAAGGCAACACAGACTACCTCCCAAAAATGGAGCTCTTGGTGAATACGTTTGGATATTTCTCTGCAGGCTAAGGCCATGCATGAATCAATAAAAATATGGTTAGCAGGCAAGATAAATTTCTTAAGTACCTGTGCAAAGAGTTGAATAATGGAATGTCTCTACCTGTGCAAAGAAACC